CACAATTTTTATATTCCCACTTTGAGATATCTCAGGAGTCTGATCTTTTTTCAGTGTAATTACAGGTGACCAGGCACATTTAGCAGTCCATGTCTTTCAGATATTCCAAGCTCAATACTCAGAAACAGAAGCAGCAGAAATCTTACTGCATCTGAAAACCTTGACCAAGTAGTTATGTGTAACACATGCTTATCTAAACTTGTGTTTGGTGCAAGTACTTAATTGTTCATTTTTTCAACCTCTCTTTTTTTTAAAAAAAAAGTGTTTTCAAATAGAATATTCCAGAATCAGGTGGAGGTTAGAGAACAGTGCTGGGCAGGGAGGAGGGTTAAATGGTGAGAGCTAGCCCAGGGTGCTAATCTGTGGAGATAACGAACTGAAAGGCAATCTCGAAATAATATTTTTCACTCCTACAATGCCTTTAATTTGAATATCAAAAAGCATGCTACAAAGACCATCTGGGCTGCAGGTGGTTTGGATGGATCCTTGGAGAGGCTTTTCAACTGCTCTGTCTGTCCTCAGAGCTGGTCTGTGAGTCCTAGGCTGGTACCTCCCCAGCAGAAGCCCTGTGCAAATCAGTGCACTGTTATCAAAAAGCAAATTGGAAAGCAAACGTTGCACAGGCATGACCTTCACACTCACCAAACCAGGGCAGCCCAGAATTATGGATACTGTTTAGATTAAAAAAAAAAAAAAATACAACCACTCACAAAAAATGCAAAGAAACCCACCAAACTTGGAACAGAAGTGGCTTTAAGTGCTGCATGATACACAAGTGGGCAAGTAGACAGAAACATGGACTACTTTGAGAAATTTACGGGGGGGGGAAGATACTTCTCTGCATATGTGATGAATCTCACTGCAGAAATAATACACATTGGCCCCTAATCTTACTATAGTGATTTCCTTTTTTGTTTTTCCTCTTCTTTCTTCCCCTCGGTGATGTTACCTTTCTGAAGACTGTAGCAGGACACAACAAAAAGCATTTGTTTGTAGCAGGATACAACAAAAGCATTTGTTTCTCCAACCTTTTGAGATGAATTATATCTAAATTGAGTTCATCCAATATCTGAAGGATCGTTAGCTCATGCACTGCTTCCCTTTAACCAGTCCTTTGCTGTTCTGACTTCATGATTCACTATCACTGCGTACAGATGGGAAAGAAAAAAAAACCACATACCAGTGTCATGCTGTTGGGTCAGTTGTCTCGGCAGGAAATAATATGCAAGAATATCTCTGGAGCCCACAAGAAGGTGTTACCAGCAAACAAACATCAGCCATGGAACGCACGAAACAACCCCATCTGTGGTGCTAGATGCTGGCAGCAAGGGCTGGTCTGTTTCTCTGCTGGTTAGTGGCTACCCAGCACATCCCTTCTCCAGCTCCCAGGCTGGGACCAAGCAATCAAATTGCCCTCCTTCCACGGGTGAGGATAGTTGTGGTTTTTTTACAGAGGGAATTTTTGTATTAAATCTGGCCTCATAACAGGTGAATTTTCTCTTTGTCCTGCTGGTTTCTGCCTAGCTAGCTTGCTCCCTAGCACTTTCTTAATAATGTTTGGTTCATGCAAATGTTAAAATGTGACATTTTTAATTGGTTGGTTAGATTTCAGTCAGAATTAACAGCAAGAATTTAAACCACCTCTGAAGCTAAAATGACCACTCATAATCTTAATATTTTCCATGGTTTTTTAAATATCTTGCCAAACTGAGGCATAGCCTGGGAAAGGAGTATTTCTTTCTGTATTGACTTATTCCCAACCCAGAAGACCTCTCCATAAGAAAGTCACCCTTTTTCAGACAGAAAGACTAGGTGGGTGCCCAGTAGTGCCCAAGGAAAACCAAACCCCCTCAGGAAGTGTGATAAAGCAGGGGAGGGATTGCTTCGTCGTACTTAGCAGCCTACAAAGACCCAAGCTGTGAAGGAGATAGGCTGTGCTTCTGTTTTGTGGAGGGAGTAAAGTTCCCCAGAGAAGAGATTGGTCTTGCACCCGCTTGTGCAGGAGCATCAGCCCTCACCTGCCCACTCCCCCCTGCATGCACGGGACGGCAGCCCCAGCGAGGCGGGGGAGATTTCGTGGTTCTCCGCTCAGGTACAATCAGGATTTTAGCACTGGGTTTCAAAGGCAAGATATATATTTAAAATAATATATATTTCAAAAAATGGATATACATGTATATATTTTTAACTTGGCTAATGTGCAAGGCAGATGCCCTCCACCTACAAAGGAGCCCAGGCTGTCACGTCTTGCCTCTTGTGCACAAATCTGCAGCCTTGATGCTCAGGAGTACAATTTTTTGCCATAATAATAGCTTTGTTTCATTTTACTTAGTCTTTCACTTTTTTTTCTCAAAAAGAGCTGCTGAAAACATCTATTTTTCTGCATGTAGTTCTCTTTCTGACATTGTTTGTTCAGCTAAGAGTTTGGTCAGGAAAAGCAGCTGATCTTGGTCTGCAGATAAGGTTCAATTGCAGAAATTAACTGGAACTAATTTTTTGTTTGTTTTTTTACCAGGAAATCCTGCCACTTCAGGTACCTTTTCACTTTGAAATGAAGCATGTTTCAAAATTTCAAGCAAAATGAAATTTGAAAAAGTAGTTTTGAGTTAATGGAAACACTTAAAAATATTTCACCACCACAGGGTTCTGTTCTTTAAACCTTTTTTAAATTTTATATTAAAAAATCACTTACTCTGAAAAGTAGTTTTGGAACAACTTCCATTCTGAAAATGTCAAAATGCCATTATTGAAACATTTAGTCTCAGATCTTTTCAAAATGGTGTCTTATCAAAATAATTGATAGTTCAAAAGATTTGGGTCTTGATGAACTGCCCCCAGCATCTTTATGAAGGAGGAAAAAAACACTCAGCTGTGTTCAGTGAGGCCTTGAGATGTTTTCCATATTGAAATATCATCAATAAAATCTCAAAAAGGAATTACCATAATTTGAGAAGAAATTTGCCCAAACAAAGCAGTCTTTCAGAATCTGAAATGGAACCTAATAATCTTGCATTTTGTATTCAACTAATAGCCTTTGTCTGAGTAGCTCTGAGTATTTTAGAGATAGAACTCCTCTTTTTATTTGCCTTCCTACAATTTAGAGGCATAAATTTCTCTACAGTCTGATCCTAAGATACAAGCCATAAGAAAATATGCTTAAATAACACATGCACCTTCACTCTGACTGAAGCATACTTATCTGAACAGGGCTGCTTTTTTGCAGCCCTGTTATAGTGCTTAAGCCTCGTAAGTGCTTCAAAGTAACGATATCTCTATTTTACAAGTCAGGAACTTGAGGTACAGTGTAACCCAAAGATACCTTTTACCAGTCAGGAGCGCAAACCCCACCTTCTGATGGGGTTAATGCAAATCCAGTACAAAAGCACTTTAGCAAGGACAGTATTTAAAATGCTAGCTCAAACTTGTAGGTCATGATGATTTTTTTTCTGAAAATGAACTATTTATGTTTTGGAAAGTAAACTTAATGCTCAGGGTGTCATTGTGCTTAAAAAGCCTTTTATACTATGACTAAGTTCTGCTGGTGTTAGCATACGGCTCAAGCACACTTTCTCCTATACTCCCTAATACAACCAGTGGTACGCTCAGCAAATCTGTTTTTAGAGACCTCCTGTGCGGTTGCCTCTCCTTAACAATTGTCCCCCTCTGAGTTATCATTCAGAGGCTGGAAGGAAAGACCCAGATGGCTATCAAAGCCAGTGTCTTTTCCAGCTCCTCAGGGTAAAATTATTGCGCCTGCTTGCATCTGGAACCAAGGATCTAAGTCCTTTTTTTTTCTATTTTTTTTAAACAAACAAACAAACACAAAACCCACAACGTAACAACCACCATTTCTCTTGCAATAAGTGTAAGCAGAAACCTTTTAAATACAGATAGCTGCAGCCCCATCTAAAAGCTACCCTGAAGCTGCAGCTTTGCAGCGACTGAGTTGGAAGCCCTCCAGCAGTGGTGGTTTAACATCACTGCTATTTCATTCCTGAGCAAGGAAACTCAGAAAAGAGGGAGAGCAGGACATTATGACAGTCTACAGTGGGAGGTGCAGCTCCATCAGAGACACATGTTGAGCTGAGTCATCTGGTGCCATGGGAAGGGGAAGACCTAGGTCCTCTTCCTGCCACCCCTCCCTGCTCTCGGCCTTGCCTGCTTGCATTCACTGCTCCCACTGCACCAGGAATTTTCTTGGCACACAGAGTGGTTTAATTGTTTGTTATCATAACCTGGCACAGAAAAGCTGCTTTGCCCACTCCCCAAAATGCAGCTGCAACATAAGTGTGCAGGCAAGGGCGATGTATGGCCCCTTGCTTCCAGCTGAAATCAGAATGTTTAATTAGGGAAAAAGGGGGTTTAAGAGGGGTTTAGGGGTTCTGGCCAAAATCCTGAGGAAACTAGCTGAAAAGTTTTTAACTTTACAAGCTGTTAGGATTGTGGTTTTGCACAATCTGTGCTTGGACCATGAGCTAGTGCCAGCTCCGGCGGAGTGCTGCACAGGGCCACTGGGAAGATCCTTTGGGTTTCTCTTGGGGTCAGACAAGCCCTTGTCTTGGAGGTCTCAGCTCTAGCCAAAACATCTGGCAGTGGTTCTCAGGGACCTATAGGCACCTGGTGGCAGCAGGGAGCTGGGTGTCAGCACCCATGAGGAGTGCCAAGGAGGCTATGCTCGATGCTTGTATTAACACCTTGGGAAATGGTGATTAAAGTCTGATCAGTGAGTGAAACTCCATCTGTGCCATCTGGTTGTCTGTCTCGCACAGGTTTACAACCCCAAGGTTATTTAGGAATGCAATTTAGAGGCAGAGACTGGTTTAGAAATAAGAGCGTCAAACCTTTTGTTTAAATTAAAGCCAAAGTCCTTGTATATAAAACCTTTAAAACTTCAATAGACCAAAGAATGACTCTATTTACAATTATATATTAGAAAAATTAGATTATTTTGGAATGACATTGAGCATATTTCTCCAACTAGTATAATGAATGAAAAGTACCTTGGGTTGACAATTGATTCTTTTTCTTCTTCTCTTACAGTAGGCAAACATTCACAGTCAGCTGAAAAAGGGTAAGAAACAAGACTATAGTTATTCTTGGCAGTTCTTCTATGTTTATTTCAAAATTGCATCAACTTGTATCTTATAGTCTCTCTAGAATGTAAAACTGCAGATGCTCTTCTGCATTCTTTTATCTGTAAAATCTGCATGGTCCCCATAGCATAAATGTTACGTGTTTTAAATCCTCCTTCCCTTAGATAGATTTTGCTGTAATTTCTTTTTAACATATATTTCAGTTTTATGTATACCTGTACAAATGAACTACTTTTGAGGACTATTTCCTATAAACTATCAGGGGGAGGACTATTTGTTAATCTTCTACTGTTTATAGTTGCCCCTATGCTTTACAGTCCCGCTGGGAATTTGAGGCTGGGGGTTAAGGAATGCTAACAAAAGAAAAAAAGAAACCACCGTACATAAGCTATTTGGTCCCTTCTGTCCACAGAATTTAAAAAAATATTTTATAGCACTATTTTGCCATGTACTGTACTTGATGTCTCTATTTCACTACTGCCGCTTAGCACATGTTTTCTGCTAGAGCTTATGGACCGCGAAGGTCAAAACCTCATCATGTGGAGCACTGTGCTAACGCAAAGCAATGCTCCAGAGAGTTTTATGTCCTGAAAAACAAAGCATCCCTAGGAGGTCAGGCAAATGAGCCATTTGGATATAAGGCAAAGGAACCAGGAATGAAAAAAATATCAAAGTTTCAGTGTTTCCTAGCCAGTGAAAAAGCTGTTAGTGGTTCAAAATCAGGCCTCGGTTAATTCATGCCTTACCCAAGACCTGCATTTTTTGAGGAGAACCTTAAAGAAGGATGCAGAGCCCATAGAGATTTTTACTGGGAGATTCCAGCTGGGAGGAAAATGGGGGAAAAAATACAAGATGCTTAGAAGTAGCTAAGAAAGAGCTGAAGATGCTGCTGGTGGTAGTTACTGCAGATACTAATTGCTCCATGGGCTGATAGACTTGCCAGAGAGGATGTAGATGGTGAATGGTGCTGGCAGCAGAGAGTAGCTTGTGTTTCATGTGGCAGAGATGGCAAACGAGGCAAGAGGTGGGGGAATGTATTCAAAGGGTCCTGGCAGTGATTTCAAGTAAATAGTGGCCTGAACTATGTTCATGAAAAATGCATGTTTTTTCTACAATAGCACAAGGTAGAGCACAGAACTGTAGAAACTCTGAGCACTGAAAGGGCTAGATGCTTCAGAGAAACTAGTATTTAGCATTAAAAATTTGTATTTAAAAATATAAATACCGTTCACAGCTATACATGTGTTTAATAGAAGTGTCTACTGGAAACTCAAAACATTTATGATATTCCATCATATGTTAAAAATAAGCTCCCACAGAAACTAAAATACTCCTCTGAACAATTCTACCCCTGACATTTATGCTGCTATTTCAGTAGTGAGGAGTCAAGAACACAACACAAATGTTGTAGGAAATGCAGTGACACATGTACAAAATGCCTGATATTGATTTTCTACACATGGGATCTATGTCAGCTAAAAAGAGAGGGATGATGGAGTAGAGGGGTTACCATGTACCATTTTTGTTCATGCTGTTCATCCATTTATCAAGCTCTTCCATTTCTATCTCCATAACAGAGGGCGTGTCTTCTTCAAAAATAGGACTTGAGAGGAGGGAGAGGAAAAAAAAAAAGCATTACACAAAATGCTTAATTCAAACAACTGACTATGTGGTAATTTTGTACAAGTCTTTCATAATTCTAGGTGCATGTAAAAACTCTGGAAAGCCATCCTAGCCTAGTCATCTGAGAAAATGTCATCCCAACGGGTGTGAACGAAACGGCCACAAGCAGATGTGAAGGAACGTTGGCAAGATGC